GGGAAGAAAATAAGAGTTGGTATAATATGAAGAAGCAGAGGTAGATAGGGACAGGATCATAAAGGGCCTTACAAGCTATAATAACAATTTGGTCCTCAGAACAATAATAGAAAGTCATTGCCATTGAAGTGTTTTAAGGTGTGTGTGTATTAGAGACAGAGAGACAGAGACAGAGACAAAGAAAAAGAGAATAATAAACTTGCATTTAAAATCACTCCACTGAAAGATGAATGAAGAATGGACTAAAGGGTCAGAGTAGATATACAGCAAAACTAGTTTGGAAGCTATTCTAATAATCAAGGTGAGAGAATGATGGCAACCTGGACTAAAATGGTGGCAATTGAGGAGAGAAATGGATGGATTTGAAAGATATGTAAGAGGTAGATTAGATATGGGGGATGATATGAAAGGAAAACTGTCAATGATGATGCCTAGATTTATGGCATGTACAAATGGACACTGGTCATATTTACGGAAAGAGAGATAACAAAAAAGGCCCAGCATTAGTGGAGGGAAAAACATGAGTTATGTTTTGGCTAATTGTGTAGGCAATTAAGATATTTACATCTGCAACTCAGAGGATAGGTATCATAGAAAGTTTCTGTTATTTTTTTTACTTCTCAGCATTTAGATCCACTTATAATTAGAGAATATTTTTTACCTTCAGTCTTAGGGAAACAAGAGATGGAGCACGTGGCCTAGGCTTCCCCAAATCAAGTGTACCCATCCCAAATTTTGAATTGGGAGTGACACAAAGAAGTGTGCCCTGGGAAGAATTTCCCCTGTCAGTGGTGGCAGTTAAAATAAGATCAAGTTTGTAGCACAGTTTTGGTAGTAGAGGTAACAGAAGCATCTTGTGCTGGTGGTAGTGGAAAAAACTATAGTCCTTAGTGCTTTGTGGTTGTGTTGTCTTGACCTCCAATTCTTTGATATGAATTTGGGCATTGCTCCTTCCTAGGTTGCCTCTGAGTCTGGTTCTGTAGCTATTCTGGGGATTTTGTGATAGGCAATATCATTTAAACAAATTCTGTTTTTGCTTAAATCAGCTACAATCACCTTCTGTTGTTTGCCACTAAGGATGTGGATTGATACTAGAGGTCTGGGCTAGGGATATACATTTGTGAGTCATCTGTATAGTAGTTGTAGAGTAAGCTGCATGCAGGGATGAATTACTTTAATGTAGAGTACAGAATAAGGAAAGGGCTAGGAATGAGCCCAAGGAATTTATAACATTTCGTGATTAAGTAGAAGATGAATCTGAAAGAAGAGATCAATTATTAGAAATAGAAAAAATAGGTAAATACTGTATCTCAGAAGTCAAGATGCTGTGGGTTTTTTGTTGTTGTTTTGTTTTGTTTTTAAATAATCTCTAAACCTTACATGAAGCTCAAATTTACAATCCTGAGATCAAGAGTTACCTGTTGTACCAACTGAGTCAGCCAGGTGCCCAACGATGTTAGACTTACTCATTCTCATTTTATATTTGAGGAAACTAAGCTTGGGTTAGAAGCTTGCCCAATGCTTTAACCTAAGAAATTATAGAACCAGAAGTTGAATCCATATCTGTATGCCTACAAAAACGGTTTATGAAGTTGATTGGATATATATATGAGGGATATATTAAAGAAAAAATCAACAAGACTTTGTGAATAGTTACAAGAGATGAAGGGAGTAATGAGTCATAAAAGATACCAACTTTCCATGTAATTGATTTTGGGGGAGGATAACTGTGCTACTGAGACAGATGTGTTAGAGGGAAAGGAAGAGATGACTTTGAATTTGGATCAGATTGAACCCAGGTTGATGGAAAAGCATGTAAATGTAAATATTTATATAACTCTCAGATAATAAGATAGGACCAGAAATACAGATTTGGGAATTTTAAGCACAGAAATAACTAAAGTCATTAGAATGAATAATCCAAAGAAAAGAGTATAGAGAAGGGCAGAGTTCAAGAAAAGGCTTTGATGAGAGTCCGTAGTTGGGTAGTGATGGTAAACAGTAAAGAAGTAGAAAGCAGAATCAGAACTGCAGGTTGGAGAGGTAGAAAACTATGAGAGACTAGTGTCTTGGAAGTCAGGGTTGCAAAGACTTTTAATAGGACCAAAGATGGGGAAGTTTTTTAAAAAGGATAAGACTGAGAAAAGACCATTAGATTTGGGGTAAAAATACTTTATTGATTATCTGATAAAGCAGCTAAATGTGATGGGGATAGCAGATGAGTTTAAAAAGTCAATGGGGAAAGGAGTGGAAATCAATAGTAAATAGAAGATGTGTTTCTGTTGGATAGATTTAGAAGTGAAAGGAAGAAAAGGAATACAGTACAATTAGAATGGGGAGCAGGTTTAAATAAAGAATTTCTTCAGTTTCTGATTTGCATGTCTGGAGCAAAGAGGAAGGTGCTAATAATAGGTAGGAAAGGATTTTTTATGGGAGTACTTTCCCAGAAAATGATTTGTTAGGATAAGTGTTTACCTGAGTCAGTGGACTGTAAATTTTCAAATGGTGCTGTATATTTTATTGGGGTAATATAGAAGGAAGAATAAAATTTGTTATTTAAAACTCTCCAGTAGGGACACCTGGATGGCTCAGTCTGTTACGTGTTACCTTTGGCTCAGGTCATGATCCCAGGGTCCTGGGATTGAGCCCCTCACCTGGGAGCCTGCTTCTCCCTCTGCCTGCTGCTACCCCTGCTTGTGCTCTCTGTCAAATAAATAAATAAATAAATAAATAAATAAATAAATAAATAAATAAATAAAATCCTTAAAAAAATAAAATCAAACTCTGTAGTAGTTCCAAAATCAACTTCTTCATTTTCATTGCTTTCCAGAAGGAATTTTTTTGGAATAGAATCCGTAGTAGTGGTTTTGGTAGAATGCAGTTGTATTTTTGTGAGAATAATCAGGATATGCATAATGTGAATTTAAATGCAAACACATTTATTTTCAGGTGTCAGCAAGGTGGGGTTTCTAGGTTTCCACAAATTTTTATAAGAAAATCTACTTTTAAGTTGAACTGAATCAACTCTTTTGACCTACCAAATTGTCTTGACAGTCATAGCAATGTAGTACCAACAAATCTAAATAAGTTTAACTTTCATATTTATGCTCTTATGCCTTCCTAAACAGATGTCATAAACAAGTATATGAATAAAGCTGTTAAATCTCTTACATCATCAAACTTCATTAGTTTTGACGGCTTACTATCATTAATACTAATGAGCAACTGTACATCACATAATAAAGTCAGTTATGCACACATAATCTGAGGTATTTAAGCAAGAAAAACCTCTGAAAATTTCTTTTTCATTTTCATAATCTGTGAGTTTGAGTTGCGAATTGAGGCAATTATTTAGATCATTTAGTATTAAAAATGTCTTTACCAGAAATATACCAATAATTAAAACAATTGGGGGCTAATTTGCTTAAATAACTTTTTTTCTCCACTCTTTTCTACTTTGGATATGCTGACAAATTCTAAGAGCACAAATTACCCAAAGGTGAGCAATTCGACAAAAAATATTAACGTGCATTTTAGTTGAAACTACACAAACGAGTCACTCAGTGTTTGTTGAACGAAAATGTGTTTGAATTACCACGCTTGCTTTTAAAGAAGCTTTGAAAATGCTCAATGCAAAATTGAATTCCGATGATTGATTTCGAGTTTTTTTTTTAACTTTCACGTTACAGTAATTACCAATTTTTATTGCCGTTCTCTCAAAACACTTTTTAAAACTGTTCTGTCACGAGAGGAATGAATAGTCTTAAAACAGCATTTGTCTTCAAGGCCACAGGAGAATCCCTGACGGGTCCCGCGTTCCTCTCGTCAGGGCTCCCGACTCCCCACCCCTCCGGGGGTTCCAGGGAGCTCGGCTCGCGCTTCGCCCGGGGAGGCAGGCCGATTGCCGCAGCGCAGGTCTCGCGGGGAGTTCGATCTCGCTCCGGAGCGCGATCTGCAATTCCCGCCGCGGGCTTCGCGGGCTCTCCCGGGGCTGCGTGGGGCCGAAGAGGACGGCCGCCCTCCTTTCGGTGTCGGGTTCTGCGTCCAGCACCCCGCGCCGGTACCCTGAGTAGAGCTGTGGGACCCGGAGAAGGGACGGTTGGAACGTTCGGGTCCCCGAGGGGCCGTTGAGGTGGGCGGGGAAGGGAGCTGTGTGCGGCAGTTCGTCCCTGGGCCGGCGAGCCTGAGGGGACTGAGGGGCTGACGGGCCCCGTCCCCGGAGTTCGCGCAGCGGTCGCGTGGGGGGCTTGCGGGCGCGCGGCCTCCCCCCGACCCCCGGCCTCGGAGCCGCCCCAAGCAGTGGGCGCCGCCGCGCGGCCGGAGGGCGGGGAGGGAACCGGGTGAGGGGAAGCGCCTAGGCCGTGAGGGTGGGGGGTCGTGAGCGAACTTCGCGCTTCAAAACGGCTCCTCGAATCTGCGCGTGACGGGTAGTAGGAGTCCCGCCTCGGGCGTATTTTGTAACGCGGCTTGGCAGTCCTGTGGAAACCTCCACTTTTTAGATTTTTTGGTGGGAAATTCGTTAAGTGTAAATTAGCCCTCTTCCTTGTTTTTTTTTTACCTTGGTGTCGGTTAAGGACTTTCCTTAGGGATCTTGCTAAGGCGTAGTAGTACAAACGCTGAGAAAGGACATCCTCAGAGATAATATTTATTTTAAAGGTCATATCCTTTAGAGAAGTCTTGGTGTCTGTGCACTCCAGAAATTCAACGAAGTGGTGCAATACCACGTATGAAGGATTATGAGGCCCCTCCCCCCGCTCGCGCCCCCAGATGTTTCAGTCCTGCAGCGAGTTTCAGCAAGTTATTCACTAAGTGCCTTACTAGGGCTGTGCCCAGTCCTGGGCTGAAGGGGTCTCGCGCCTCCTCACTGCTTGCTCCCCCCACATTTTTCTGTAATAATGCCTGGCTAAAAAGGTTGTTACCGAACGAATATATGCTATTTTGTATATGACTTCAGAAAATCCTTAACAATTCTTTTTCTTTTTTTAAATACAGTATTCAAGATGAATGACAGCCTCTTTGTCAGTTTGGACAGACTTTTGCTAGAATTTGGTAGGTACAAAATGAAAAAGAAATAGGTAATTATTTGTATTATCATTTAACATTTTAACAATGAAGTCACAAAATAATTACTTTTTTTTTTTAGTTTTCCAGTATGAGCAAGATATAAGTACCAAAGGAGATATGATTCAACGAATTAATAGTAAGTCTTTTTGCATGATAAAGTTATTCTGTTTTTTAAATTTTTTTATGGTATATAAGACAATAAACATCTGCCTTGTTTAGGATAACTTATCCTAAACATTTTGGCATTTTAACTTTTGTGCCAGTTCTATATAGTGACTAATACTAAGCTGTTTGCCCTAATTACAGCTTTTCAGTACTAAATTTCTGTATTCATCCTTCAATGATTTTGCATTGAAGAATTTTGCTTTAAGCAGACATAATGACTTAATTAAGCACAGTTGAAAATACGTTATTTTTCTCAAATAACAGGTTATTTCAAACGAGTGAATTTTTTGATTTTATTTCTTTTTAAAATTTTTAAAAGATTTTATTTATTTGTTCATGAGAGACACAGAGATACAGGCAGAGGGAGAAGCAGGCTTCCTGCAAGACGCCGGATGCAGGACTTGAAGGCAGATGCTCAATCGCTGAGCTACCTGGGCGTCCCTTGATTTTATTTCTAAATTTATTTTTTTTTTGTAGTTTCAAGTTTTTATTTAAATTCCAGTTAGTCAACATGCAGTGTAATATTAGTTTAAGGTGTAGGATTTAGTGATTCATTACTTACATGCAACACTCAGTGTTCATCCCCAGCATCCTTCTTAATACCGATCACTGATTTAACCCATTTCCCCCACCTACCTTCCCTCTAGCAAGCCTTGGTTCTCTATTGTTAAGAGTCTGTTTTGTGGTTTGCTTCTCTCTTTTTTTCCTGTGTGTTCATTTGTTTTGTTTCTTAAATTCTACATGTGAATGAAATCATAAAGTATTTGTTTTTCTCTGGCTGACTTATTTTACTTAGGATAATACTCCCTAGCTCCATCCGTGTCATTGCAAGTGGCAAGATTTCATTCTGTTTAATGGCTGAGTAATATTCCGTTGCATATATACACCACATCTTTTTTTTTTTTAAGTATTTATTTATTTATTTGAGAGACAGCATGAGTGAGAGGGTCAGAGGGAGAGGGAGAGAGAATCTCAAGCAGACTCCACACTGAGCATGGAGCTGTTTGGGGGGCTCAATCACACGACATGGACATCAAGACCTGAGATGAAACCAAGAGTCAGATGCCCAACTGACTATATCCAGGTGCCCCTACACCGTATCTTTATCCATTCATCAATGGATGGGCATTTGGGCTCTTTCCATAATTTGGCTATTGTTGATAATGTTGCTATAAACATCAGGGTGCATGTGCCCCTTCAATTTTTTTTTTTTTTAAGAAAGAGAATGTGCAGGGGCGAGGGGGTTGCAGAGTGAGAGAGAGAGAGAGAGAGAATCCTAAGCAAGCTCCACACCCAGCACAGAGCCTGACCCAGGACTCCATTTTACAACCCTGAGATTATGACCTGAGCCAAAACCAAGAGTTCATTGCTTAACTGACAGCCACCCAGGCACCCCTTGAATCAGTATTTTTGTATCCTTTGGGTAAATAATTAGTAGTGCAATTGCTGGATCACAGAGTAGTTCTATTTTGAACTTTTTGACAAACCTCCTTACTGTTTTCCAGAGTGGCTGTACCAGTTTACGTTCCCACAGCATTATAAGAATGTTCCCCTTTCTCCATATCCTTGCCAACATCTGTTGTTAATTTTAGCCATTCTGACAGGTATGAGGTGATCTCTCATTGTGGTTTTTATTTTAATTTTTGTTTAAAGATTTATTTATTTATTCATAGAGACACACACACAGAGAGAGAGAGGCAGAGACACAGGCAGAGGGAGAAGCAGGCACCATGCAGAGAGCCTGACCTGGGACTCATCCAGGGTCTCCAGGATCACACCCTAGGCTGCAGGCGGTGCTAAACCTCTGCGCCACCAGGGCTGCCCTCATTGTGGTTTTGATTTGTATTTCCCTGATGATGAGTGATGTAGAACATCTTTTCATGTGTCTATTAGCCATCTGTATGTCTTCTTTGGAAAAATGTCTGTTCATGTCTTCTGTTTATTTAACTAGATATTTTGTTTTTTGAGTGTTGAGTTTGATAAGTTCTTTATATATTTTTGGATCATTTCAGTGAATTTTAAAAATCTTTTTAGACATAGTTGACTATTGTGGACATTGCTGCTATAAACATTGGGGTGCAGCTACCCCTTTGGATCACTATATTTGTATCTTTGTGGTAAGTACCTAGTAGCTATGGAAAGAAGTCAGATGTCCATTGATAGATGAATGCATAAAAAAGATGTGAGATATATGCATATATATGCATAAATATATATGTATATATATATGAATATTACTCAGCCACCAAAAAGGATGGAATTTACAATGATATGGATGGAACTGGAGGGTATTATGCTGAGTGAAATAAGGCAGTTGGACAAAGACAATTATATGGTTTCACTCATATGTGGAATTTAGGAAACAAAAGAGATGATCATAGGGGAAGAGAGGGAAAAATATGAAATTAGAGAGGGAGGAAAACTATAAGAGACTCTTAAGAATAGGAAACAAACTGAGGGTTGCTAGAGGAGAGGTGGCTGGGGGGTTGGATAACTGGATGATGGTCGTTTAGGAGGGTACAAACATGGATGAATAACAACTCTACTTCTGAAACTAATGATATAGTATATGTTAACTAATTGAATTTAAATAAGTGAATAAAAATAAATCTTTTACATGTCATTATTAATTTCTTAATAGTTCTGAAAATGTAGAATTTGGTTAACATTCTGCAACAAAAAAGAATGTAGAGTGTTAAGGCTTTATTTTAATCTTTAAGAAATTGCATTTTTGTATTTATTCCCTAGTAACAAAGAAATAAGTGAGTTGAAGGTGCATTTAATAATTAGTTGACACGGAATCAATGAAGACAAATTTTACATTTGTCAAAACCAAGATCAGCTAGTGTCATATGAGACTAAAGATTTACATGAACTCATACTCTCATAAGATGCCATTGATCTTAGATGTCACTTAATCTATCTCTCTTATGTTAAAGATAAGGAACAGGGACATTTCTTTCTTTCTTTTTTAAGTTTTTATTTAAATTCCAGTCAGTTAATTTCTAGTATACTGTTAGTTTCAGATGTACTTCTCTTCTGTCCCAAACACAAATCCTTTGCTTCTGGATCTAGGAGCAAGCCTGGTTCTGGTTCTGTGCTTTTTAGTATTGGGTCTTCCCATCTCAGTCCTCATTTCTTCTCCTTTCTCTAATTCTCCTCCTTTTAGGTCAGTTGCTATACCCCTTTTTCCTCTGTATTTGTTAATTTTGAGTTTATGATTTCTACCTTAAGAAAATAAACATTTCTCCTTTCCAGAATGCTTTGAAGATATTAAAGAAAACAAGGCAACTATTTGTAAGATACATGAAACTATAAATACAACAGATGAGGAAATTGGTCATTACTGTAAACATAGTAAGGAGATCAAAGACAACTGTAGTAAGTGAGTATTTGAAAGAAAGTAACTTTCAGTAATTGTTAGTAGATTTTTTTAAAAGATTTTATTTATTTATTCATGGGAGACACACAGAGAGAGGCAGAGACACAGGCAGTGGGAGAAGCAGGCTCCATGCAGGAAGCCCGATGTGGGCCTTGATCCTAGGACTCTGGGATCATGCCCTGAGTCAAAGGCAGACGCTTAACCGCTGAGCCACCCAGGCGTCCCTGTCACTAGATTCTTTATTCAAAGTTTCTGTTATTTATAATTTATATCATTTATAATTGAAGACATTGTTGCTTTAAAGTAGTGTTTTGTACTATCAAATAATCAGGTCTTAAATTGCTTTGCTACATGCTTTGGTAAAAAGGGATCATAGGAAAATCAAAAGAAAAGTAGAAGTGCTGTAAGATCTCTGTAATTAATACAGCTCCAACTCCAGAATTCTACAGAATTTTGAACAATATAGGCTCAGTATATAAAGTTCCTATTAGGTCAGTACAGTTGAAATGATTTCCATCTTTGAGTTTTTAAGATCATTATCTAGGGGAATCTAGACTCAAATAAGTTCCTTTTCAAAGTAAAAATATTCAGTATGTTAAGAATTCTTTCAACATGGCTTCAGGTTCTGGAACATAGTAGTTAAATTTATTATAAGACATAAACATTTTGAAACAAAGGCTTACTAATGGAACTTTATTGTATATTAAGAAAATAAAATGTGTTAGTTTTCTGTGCTTTATGTAGACCGTTATCTTTGTATTAACTACTATACTTTAGAATCATATTTGTTTTAAAAATATTTATTCAAAATTTTAATAAGTCTTTTTTGATTTTCCCTTTTATAAAGATAATACATACCTAGAATAAAAATTCAAAAACTATATAAATGTGTAGAGTAAAAAGTTATTTTCTGCCTGCAGTTCCCACCTCAACCCTCTGTCTTCTTCCCTATAGGTAATAATTTTTAATGGCTCTGGCTATCTTTTCAGACATTTTTCAATAAAAATTCAATGTCATTATTAAATAAACTTATATGTACATCTATCTATGTATTTCTTTTTACAAAATGGGATCATACTGTACTTACTATTTAAAAAATCAACATTATGTTCTGTAAATGATACTATACATATAATGATTATGTATAGATTTCAATCTTTAACAACTCCATAGGGTATAGTCTTGGTTTATTTTAAATTTAATCATTCTCCTATTATAGACAGTTAGGTTTCCAGTTTTTCCCTCTTATGAACAACCTGTACAGGTATCCTTCCACATTTATAGACCTGTTGCTGTAGAATGAGTCTAGAAGTGTGGTTGTTAGATCAGAGAGTATGCATATTTAAACATTTGATAGATAATGCCAAACTTCTCTCCACAAAAGGATTATATTAATTCATACTTTGGCCAACAGTGTATGAGTGTTCCTGTTTCCTCATGCCCTTGCCAACACTGGAATTATGTTTATTTTTTAATTTTTTTAATTTTTTAAAGATTTTATTTATTTATTCATGAGAGACACACACACACACACAGAGGCAGAGATACAGGCAGAGGGAGAAGCAGGCTCCATGCAGGGAGCCTGACATGGGACTTGATCCCAGGACTCCAGGATCACACCCTGGGCTGAAGGCAGGTGCCAAACCGCTGAGCCACCCAGGGATCCCCTGGAATTATGTTTAAATTATTTGCCAATCTGATCAACAAAACATATTGTTGAACTTTCTCTTTTATTTTGATTTAAGCTTTTTTGTAGGACATTTTACCAGTGGTTTCCTTCAACTAGCTGCAGTGGTTGTGGGAAAAGTAGTTTCCTTTTAGAACCTGCTGTGTCCAAGATGTAATGTACTTCATATGTTTAATCTCTGCTGGGTTCTGAGGACAATTTTTTAAAAAAGATTTTATTTATTTATTCATAGAGACAGAGAGAGGCAGAGGTAGAAACAGGCATCATACATAGAGCCTGACGTGGGACTCGATCCAGGGTCTCCAGGATCACGCCCTGGGCTGCAGGCAGCGCTAAACCACTGCACCACCAGGGCTACCCGGTTCTGAGGACAATTAGTAGGATTTTAATACCATGATATACCTCTAATTCATGATTTCAGCATACTGGTTAAGAGATTTAAATGTGGAATATGAATTCATAAAAGTACTAGAAGAAATATAAGTGACTGTATAATCTCGGAGAGTAGAAGGCCTTTGTAAGTGTAACATCAAAAGTAGAAAATAGGAAGATCCCTGGGTGGCTCAGTGGTTTAGCGCCTGCCTTTGGCCCAGGGCGTGATCCTGAAGTCCTGGGATTGAGTCCTGCGTTGGGCTCCCTGCATGGAGCCTGCTTCTCCCTCTGCCTGTGTCTCTGCCTCTCTCTCTCTGTATGTCTATCGTGAATAAATAAATAAAACCTTTTTTAAAAAAAGTAGAAAATAAAAGGAAACAATGGATAAATATGATTACACACAAATTAAAAAGAGAAATGCCTTCAAATGATACAAAAGGCAAAAGGATAGGGTAGGAAAAGTATCAAGTAAGTGCTAATTTTTAAAAATATAAAGTACTTGTGGAAAATAAGTAAATACCAAGAAGAAGAAACATGTCTAATAAATATGTGAACAAATGCGCAATCTTACTATTAGTCAGACATCCAAATTAAAGCAACAATGAAATGCTATTTTTTTTGCCTTTAAGTTTTGCAGAAATTTAAAGAAACACAATATCCTGTGTTGACCAGGGAATAAGAAAATCACTTCTCTTGTACACTATAGTAATGTACACTGGTATAAACCTTTTAGATGACCCATCAGTGTATTTTTAAAAAGCTTTAAAATAAGCCTGACTTTTGATTAAAAGTTTCCATCTCTGAGAATTTTTCATCAGGAAATAATTAGGCACAATACTGTACAATAAGGTGTTTATTTCAAACTTTTCTTTTTTTTCTTTTTTTCAAACTTTTCTTTTTAAATATTTTATTTATTTACTCATGAGAGAACTGAGAGAGGCAGAGACATAGGCAGAGGGAGAAGCAGCCTCCCCATGGGGAGCTTGATGCAGGACTTGATCCCAGGACTCTGGATCACGCCCTGAGCCAAAGGCAGATGCTCAATCACTGAGCCACACAGGCATCCCTATTTCAACCTTTTTTTATGATGGGAAAACATTGGAAAGATCTAATGTTCAACATTAGGTGATGGGTTAAATGAATTTTGGTATATGCATATGAATTAACAGTAGGTAGCCAATTAAATTATAAGTGTATATTTACTGATATGGAAAGATGTTAACTTTCTATTAATATGGAAAGATGTATATTACGAAGTAAGCAAAGCAATAAAACAGCATTCATAGTATGAGCTCAATTAAGTAATTGTATATATATAGTAGAAATAATCTAGGAATATGTATGTCAAAATGCTTACAGGAAATACCTTTTTAAGGAACATGTATTTCTTATGGAATTTTTAAAATACTCAGAATATGTGTAATGTATAACCTTTGACCTTATTCCATTTTGGGGAATGTTTTCTAAGGAAATGATTGGAAATTCAGACAAACATGTAAGTAAAAGTTCTATTTATAATAGAAAGACAGATAAAGCAAAAATGGCCAACAAAGTGGGAATAGTTAGAAAAATTATGGAACATGATGTATTAACAGTGAATTCTTAGTGACAAGGAAAATGTGTATAATTTAAAGGGTGATAAAGGAGCATGCGTTGTTATATATATGAATATCATCTCAAATATGTTAAATATAGGGATGCCTGAGTGGCACAGTCAGTTAAGCCTCTGACTGTTGGTTTTGGCTCAGCTTGTGATAGGGTGGTGAGATCCAGCCCTGCATAGGACTCCACACTCAACGGAGAGTCTGCTTGAGACTCTCCCTTTGCCCCTTTCCCCACTATTCTCTCTCTCTCAAAGATATAAATAAGTCTTTTAAAAAAGATAATAAATATGTACTTTATAATAAAGTTGGAAATAATTTAAAAAATGATAGTAGTTATTATTCAGTGTTGAGAATAATGGATAATGGTTATTTTCTTACATATACTTTTCTGTGCTTCCAGAGTGGGCATGTGATTGTTTTGAATCTGAAAAGAATATTAAGACATTAGAAAAAAGAGAGAAACTAGTTGAACAACACTTAGAATGGAAGCTGACATGGTGTATGCAAATTTTAGATTTTTCCATATTGGTAACATTTTTTAAGTCTTGTAATAAGACAAAAAATATATAAGATAGCTATTCATTTTATTCTTAGCCTCTGCTTTTATAAATTATTTTGGTCTAGTTTCTGTCTTTCTAGTTCAGGAGGGTATAGCAACCTGACTTTCTAAGTTTCAAAAGAAAAAAAAAGCCTCTCTTTAGCCCCTGTTCTTTGAATCCTTAACTCCAAAAGAATTTCTTAGCCAAGATCTTAGAAGTATGATGAGAAGAGAAGCCCGATGGTGGAGTATTGCACAGTATCTTCTAGAAATGCTGGAGCAATACACAGTCCAGCCATGTAACATTTGCTCCTGCCTTAGTCATGGTTCCACAATGGGTTTTATGTAAAAATTAATGGATATTTTTCCTTGAGTGTATTATGATTGCCTGAATGATGGTAGTGGTGGTGATGGGGGGTAGGAATATTTTTTTGATATAAGCTTATTTTCTTTAGGAAGAGAAAGATTCATTTATTTTTAAATGGTTAAATTCATTTTTATTATCTCTTACAACTTATCATTCTGAGATTCTAATTACATTATTTTTTTTTCCATAGCTGGAAGCCAACATGTGATGTTTTTCATAAGCATGAAGACTATATGCAGGACCAATTTACTGTTTATCAAGAAACTATTGAAAAAGACAAGTACAATACATATATTAAGTTATCAGTTCTATAATTTAGTACTGATAGGATATGCTTATTAAAAATGTTGCTTAAAAAATGCAGAAACTTTGTATATTAGGAGAGGTTCTTTTTGTTTTTGTTTTTAAGTAAACACAGTGCTTTGGACTCTTTGGGTGCCATTGGAGGCCTACTTATTTGTTATAAAGTTCTACCAAACTCTGAATATGTTTAGATATGTCCTTAGAAAAAAACAATTTATCAGTAGCAATTATTATAGAAGAGTGCTTTGATTAATGGTTTTTATAATTGAATTGTTAGAGGTAAACATCTGGGGAATAGTTAGCTATAGAATTAGCTTATGAAAAATTTGGAGTATTGACTTTTGAAGGGGATTCTATATGAAACTTCTTTTTTTCAGAAAGCTTATGTAGTGGGGTGTTATATTCTAATGTAGAGACCTGTTGTATAGGTTTATTTTATTAATGTATAAAATAACCTCATTTTGAGGACTAAATATAATTAGTGAATATAATGGAACAAGGTGAGAGACTTTGAACACATTATATAGCATTATAATTTCACTTAATTTAAAAATTTAAGTGTTTTCATTTTTAATATAATTGGACAAGAGCATGATTTTGTATATATATATGCTCTTGTCCAATACATACACACTCATATATATATAAGAGAGAGTGAGAGAGAGAGAGAGCACAAGCAGGATGAGGGACAGAGGGATAAGCAGACTCCCTGCTGAGCGGGAAGCCCCATGTGGGATCCAGTCCTGGGATCATGACCTGAGCCAAAGGCAGATGCTTAACCAACTGAGCTACACAGGTGCCCTGATTTTTTAATACTTTTTATATTTTTGTTATCTTTTTATACTTTATTTTTATTTTTTACTACCTTTCCTCCCAGCTTTATTGAAATATAACTGACATAACATTGTTTAAGTTTGAGAGGTACAAACATGATGGTTTGATACATGTATATAATTTAAACTATCTGTCACAATAAGGTTAGGAAGGTAGCACATCTGTCACCTTGTATAAGTACTATTTTTTTTTGTAGTAAGAACATTTAAGATTTACTCTTAGTAATTTTTAAATATATAATACAGTATTGTTATATTTACCATGTCGTATATTAAATCCCCAGAACTTAATTCACCTTATAACTGGAAGTTTGCATCCTTTGAGCAACACCTCCCTATTTCCTCTACTCCTGGCCCCTGGCAGCCACCATTCTACTCTTTGTTTCTATGATTTGGCTTTTTAAAAATTTTACATATGAGTAGGATCATACCATATTTGTTTTTCTCTTACTCAGCTTAGTACTCTCAAGGTCCATCCATGGTGTTGAAGATGGGAGCAGTTCTGTTTTATGACTGGATAATATTCCATTGCATGCATAAGATTCATTTTATTATTATTATTTTTTAAAGGGTTGAAACTCAGTGCCCAGTGTGAGGCTTGAACTCATGATTGTGAAATTGAGTCACATGTTCTCCTGACTGACCCAGCCCAGGTGTCCCTATATACACATTAAAAAAAATTATTACTGAAGAATAATTGATGTACAATGTTATACTATTTTCTGGTATACAACTTAATGATTTGACAATATTTTTAAAAGATTTCTTTATTTAGCTTAGAGAGCACTCACAAGCAGGGAGAGGGGCAAAGTGAGAGGGGGAGAGAGAATTTCAAGCAGATTTCCTGCTAAGTGTGGAGGTTGATGTAGGGCTTGGGATCCCATAACCCCAGAGATCATGACCTGAGCCAAAACCAAGAGTTGGACACTCACCTCACTGAGCCACCCAGGTACCTTCTCATTTATTTTATGACTGGAAGTTTAAACCTCTTAATCTCTTTCATGTATTCCACCTCCCCTGCTGCCCCTATCCTGGCAACCACTAGTTTTTTTTTTTTTCTGTATTTAAGAGTCTGGCTTTTTGTTTTGTTTGTTTTTAGATTTCACATGTAAGTGAAATAATGTATTTTCCTTTCTCTTCGTGACTTATTCCACTCACATTAGTACCCTTTAGGTTCATCTATGTTGTTGCAAATAACAAGACCTTATTCTTTTTGTGGCTGAGTAATGTTCCATTTCATATATATATTATCTATAGTATATGTGTGTATATGTGTGTGTGTGTGTGTGTGTGTATATATATATATATATATATATCACTTCTTTATCCATTCATCTATTGATGGACACTTGGGTTGCTTGCATATCTTATCTTGGCTATTGTTAAACAATTCAACTGTAAATGTACGGGTGCATATATATTTTTGAATTAGTTTTATTTTTTTGGATGAATACCTAGTAGTAGAATTACTGGATCATAAGAGTATTTTGGGATCATTTTTAATTTTTTGAGGAATCTCCATACTATTTTCTATAGGGTTGCACCAATGTACATTGCCACCAATAAGTGCACACGGATTCTTTTTTTTCCACATCCTTACCAATAATTATTATATCTTGTCTTTTTGTTACTAGTCATTCTGACAGGTGTAAGGTGACATCTCATTGTGGTTTTGATTTGCATTTCTCTGATGGTTAGTGATGTTGATCATCTTTTCATGAACTTTTTGATCATTTGTATGTCTGTGGAAAAATGTTCAGATCCTCTGCCCATTTTAAATATGAATTATTAGCCTTTTGCTATTAACTTGTATGAGTTTATTATATACTGATCCATGAACACAGAATATCTTTCATTTATTTGTGTCTTCTTCAGTTTCTTCAATCAATGTCTTACAGTTTTTAGTGAACAGATCTTTCACCTCCTGGATTTAATTTACTAAGTATTTTATTATTTTTGATGCTATTAGAAATGGAACTGTTTTATTTTCTTTCAGATAGTTCATTGTTAGTGTATAGTGATTTTTGTATGTTGATTTTTTAATGTGAAATTTTACTGAATTTGTTGATTAGTTCTAACAGTTTTTGGGTGGAGTTTTTTTTATGTGTAAGATCATGTCATTTTGCAAACAGAGACCATTTTACTCCTTCCTTTCCTACTTGGATGACTTTTTTTCTTTTTCTTGACTAATTGCTGTAGTTAAGATTTCCAGTACTGCACTCCTATTTGATTAGAAGTGGTGGGAGTGGCACCCTCGTCTTATTGGTGTTTTTGGAGGAAAAGCGTTTAGTTCTTCAGAATTGACTGTGATGTTAATTATGGAATTGTCATACATGGCCTTTATTATGTTGAGGTATGTTCCTTCTGTTCCCAATTTGTTGAGAGTTTTTATCATGAAAGGGTGTTGAGTTTTGCCAGATGCTTTTTCTGTATCTATTGAGTGGATCATATGAGTTTATCCTTTATTCTATTAACGTGGAATATCATGTTTATTGACTTGTGTATGTTGATGAACCATTCTTGTAACCAATGGATAAATCCCACTTTGTCATTGTGTATGATCCTTTTAATGTGCTGTTGAGTTTGGTTTGCTAGTATTTTGTTGAGAATTTTTTCGTCTATATTCCTCAGGAATATTGGCCTGTATTTTTCTTTTCTTGTGGTGTTCTCATTTGGCTTTGGTATCAATGTAATGCTGGCTTCATAAAATGAATTGGAGGGTGTTGCCTCCTCTTCAACTTTTTGGAAGAGTTTGAGAAGTCTCTTATGATCCTTTGTATTTCTGTGGTGTTGGTTATATAATTCTTTGTATTTCTATGGTGTAATATTTCCTCTTTCATTTATAATTTTGCTTATTTGAGTCCCTCTCTCTTTTTTCTTGGTTAGTCTAGCTAAGGGTTTGCAAATGTGTTAATCTTTTCAAAAACCCAACTCTTTCTATCACTGATTTTTTTTCTGTTGTCTTCCTCTTCCCTATTTTATTTATTTCTGCTCTAATCTGTGTTACTTCTTTCCTTCTGCCATCTTCAGGCTTAGATTGTTCTTCCTTTTCTAATTCCTTGAGATATAAAGTTAGTTTGTTTATTTGAGGTCTTTCTTTTTTCTTTTCTTTTTTCTTTTTTAAGATTTTATTCATTTATTCATGAGAGACACACAGAGAGAGGCAGAAACATAGGCAGAGGGAGAAGCAGGCTTTCTTCAGGGAGCCTGATGTGTGGGGCTCGATCCCAGGACCTGGGATCACGCTCTGAGCCAAAGGTAGACATTCAACCACTGAGCCACCCAGGCATCCCAGGTCTTTCTTTTTTTTTTTAATGTAAGCATTTATTGCTATAAGTTTCCTTTTTAGACCAACTTTTGCTGCATCCCCTAGGTTCTGATGTATTGCATTTTCATTTTCGTTTGTCTCAAGATACTTTTGATTTCTTCTTTGACCCAGCACTGATTGGGAGTGTCTTGATTAATTTCCACATATTTGTGAATTTTTCATTTTCCTTCTGTTGATTTCTAGTCCTATATCATTATGGTCAGAAAAGATACTTGATATTATTTCAGTCTCCTTAAGTTTATTAAGGTGGCTTTGTAACCCAAGATATGATCTCTCCTAGAGAATATCCCATGTGTGCTTAAGAGGAATATATGTTCTGGTGTTGTTAGATGGAATGTTAGATTGAATGTTTTGTATGTGATTGTTAGGTCTATTTTGTCTATAGTGTTGTTATTCAGATATACTGTTTCCTTACTCTGTCTGGATGATCTTCTCAGTATTGAAATGGGGTATTGAAGTCCTTGACCATTATTGTTCTTATCTTCAGTTATGTTAATGTTATGTTATGTTAATATTTGTTTTAAATATTCAAGTGCTTTAGTGTTGGGTTGTGCATATATTTTCAATTATTATATCTTACTGGTGAATGATCTTTTATCATTTTATAGAGATTTTCTTTGTCTTATGATTGATTTTGACTAATGTCTCTTTTATCTGGCATAAGTATAACCACTTTTTCTCTCCTTTGGTTGTCATTTGCATGAAATATCTTTTTCCATTCCTTCACTTTCAGCCTTTGTGTGTCCTTAAAGCTAAAGTGAATTTCTCATAGATGGCATATTGTTAGATCTTGTTTTTTATTTTATTTTTAAAAAA